TCTTCGCGTCTCTTGTCCCTTCATTCCTTCTCGCTTAGGTTCATTGCCCTCGTTGAAGTCCTGCGGGTCTGGACACTCAGTGCCCAATAACTGTTCAGACAATGCTGGGTTTGTGGTGTGTGTGTGTGTGTGTCTGTGTCTGTGTGTCTGTGTGTTTGTGTGAGTTTTGAAGCTTGAACTCAGGGCATGGGCACTGTGCCTTAGCTTTTTGTTCAAAGCTGAATATCTGCCAAACTGCATTTGCCTTCAGCAGTTTACCTTGGCCTGAGGTTCCTGTTCAATAGGTTAAAGTCTTCAGACCCAAGATGTGGACCCGTATAGATGGGCCCTCACAGAGGAACTGGATGCCAGAGTTTCAAAAACCACCATTAAACTCATCTAGAACATACAAACATGCTTTATACAGAACAACTTGCCCACCTGTTCTTTGAACTTTATTCCATCCAAAGTAAATAAATGAGCCAGGCTCCCGCCTGTCATCCTAGCTACTCAGGAGGCTGAGATCTAAGATTGTGGTTCAAAGCCAGCTGAGGTGGGCAAGGCCACCAGATGTTTATCTCCAATAAACTAAAGAAAAAATATAAGTTGAACTGTGGCTTAAGTGGTAGTGTTACCAGCCTGGATCCAAACAACATAGCGATGAACAATGCCCAGCACCAAGAAAAATGAATGAATGAATAAAAGGAAAGAGAAGTTCCAATGTAATGCCACAAAACACAGAATCAGACTCGCGTCCAAATGCCAATTCATCTTGCTGTGACCACCAGCTCAAGGACAGTTCAAGGTCATTGCATCTGGGATCTAGAGCGCTGGCTTTGAAGGCAGGTTTAGTGAATACACAGCTATTGGCTCCCCATGCCTGTCAATGAGTGAATGAGTCTGGGAGTTTGTTCTCAGAGGAGAGGTCCTATTTTGTGTCCAGCAATCACTTTCTGGGTGCAACTCCAGCATGGATTCAATGATTCCTGGCTCAGGGGTGGATACTTTTTCCTGAGATATGGTCACTCAGAGCCAAGACCCTGCGGCTCTTCTACATTGTCTGCCACCATGTGGCTCTACCCAGATGTATTTTTCCAGTTACCTTTTGATGCTTTCTACAGAAAGGCTTAGAAACTTCTCTGTGGACTTTACATATTCCACAGACATCATGTGATGCATTTTCCTTCCTTTCCTTTTTCCAATTCAAGTGATGGTTTCATGGGAACTTTTGTTTTTTTGGTAGGTCATGTGACTTGAACTCTGGGCCTGGGCACTGTCCCTCAGCTCTTCAGCTCAAGGCTAGTGCTCTACCACTTGAGCATATGAAGAGGGGCTTTGTGATTCTCTCCTACAGCTCTTTTGATCTCACTGTACAGGAGTATCTAGAATACTGTGCAAACTGACATATTCCTGATGTTTTTTATCTAACTTCTGCATACCAAGGAGATCATGTGTCATTTGTCTCCCTGATCTTGGCTTCCCTCACTCAACATGATTTGTTGTGGTCCCATCCATTTCCCTGCAAGTTACATAATTTTCTTCTTTCTAACGGCTGGGTAAAATTGTACATAGCTATCGCATCTATGTGGGGCATCTGGGCTGTTTCTCTCTCTTGCCTATTGTGATTGGTGCGGTGATGACCATGGATGAGCAGGGATCCTTGTCATATCCTGGCTTATGATTCTCAGAGTGCCTGTCTGGGAGTGGTATGGCTGGGTCAGAAGGAAGATCTATGTTTAGTTTTTGAGGAATCTCCACACTGCTCTCCAGAGTGGTTGTACTAGTTTACATTCCCACTGGCAGTGCCGGAGGGTTTCTTTCCCCCATATCCCTGCCAACATTAGTTGTTAGAATTCAAAATATTGGCCAGTCTAACTAGCATGAGATGGCATCTCAGGATGGTTTTGATTCCCATGTTCTTTCAGGACAGGGATGCTGAGCATTTCCGCATGTGCTTCTTTACTCTTCTTACCTCTTCTGAGTAGTTTCTCCTTAATTGTCTTGAGCTCGTTGTATGTTATTGGCTATTAGGCCATTCCCTGACGTATTCTTGGAAAAGATCTTTTCCCAGTTGGTTGGCTGTCTTTCTAGTTTAGTAACCATATCCTTAGTTGGGTAGAAATGACTTATTTTCATGTCAGTTTTTCCTTTTTAAATTTAAAATTTGGTTTCCATGTGATTAATTGATTTAGGTTTTTTTTAATAAATGATCTTTAAAATTTGACGAGGTGGCTCATAGCTGCAAATGGTTAAGATCTGAAAATCACAGTTCCAAACCAGCCTAGGCAAGAAAGGCTGTGGGACTCCAATCTCCCATTAACCCCCAGCAAGCTGGAGGTGTTGTTGGGGCTCAAAGTGGTAGAGAGCTAGCCTTGAGCAGAAAAGAGCTCAGGGATGGCATCTTGATCCTGAGTTCAAACCCACAGCAGCTGTACCAAAGGATTCAATGCCAAGCTGCCCATTTACTAGGAGGCATCTTGATCGATGTCACCCCTCCACATACATTTTAGAACTAACGTTTCAGTCTATTAGCCCGTGTGCACATGCCAACTCGGACAAGGTGGTTTTCACTGAGGCTGTGTTTAATCGTGTAGCTACATTGGAAGCTGGCATATGAAGACATGCTGGCTTTCTCTGTCCCTACATATGTGGAAAAGTTTTTTATTCTGGTATTTTAGTTTTCTCAATATTTTTAAAGTTCTATATCTAGCACTCATGAACACCTTTGAGATAAAGTCTAATGCTTTTTTTATTTAGTGCATGCTAAACATTGAAGGAGTAACTGTTTAATTATTTATTTCTGTGGGAGGCAGTACTGGGATTTGAACTCAGGGCCTTCTACTTTCTTGGCTTGCCTATACAGCCATATCTCCAGCACCTCTTTTCTGTTCATATCTTCAGCTGTTCAGGGGATGCAAGGCAATCATCCAGAATGGAATAAGAGCTTACCATTGTACAGACAATTATTCAATGGTCAATGGAATCAAAAAGCCATTCTGAGATGAAGAAATAAAAATATCTAATACAGAAAGAAAGACAGCTGGGTGCTGGTGTCTTGTACTTACCCTCCTAGCTAATTAAATGGATGAGATTGGAAGATGGAGGTTTGAAGTCAGTTCTGAGCAGGAAAGTCCATGAGACTCTACTCTCCAATAAAGCAACAAAAGGCTGGATGTGGAGCTGTGGCTCTAGTGGTAGAGTACCAGCCTTGAGGAAAAAGTTAAATATGAGCTTAGGGATAGCACCCAGGCCCCGAGTTCAGGGTGGAGTCTTTAAACCATGATCCTCAGATCTCCTCTGGAATAACTGGGATGACAGGCATGAGCCACTAACATTGGGCAGTACACTCATTTTTAAGTGTATTTTAAAGTTCCCATGAAATAACCAGGCTCTGGTGGCTCACGCCTGTAATCCTAGCTACTCAGGAGGCTGAGATCTGAGGATTGTGGTTCAAAGCCATCCCAGACAGGAAATTCTGCGAGACTCTTATCTCCAATGAACCACCAGAAAACTGGAAGTGGTGCTGTAGTTCAAGTGGTAGAGCACTAGCCTTGAGCTGAAGAGCTGAGGGACAGTGCCCAGGTCCAGAGTTCAAGCCCCAGGACCTACCTAAAAAACAAAAGTTTCCATGAAACAATCACTTGAATTGGAATAAAGGAAAGGAAGGAAAATGCATCACATGATATCTATGGAATATGTATGGACCACGGAGAGGTTTCTAAGCCTTTCTGTAGAAAGCATCAACAGGCTAGTGGAAAAACATATCTGGGTAGAGCCACATGTGTGGCAGACAATGTAGAGGAGCCACAGGGTCTTGGCCATGAGTGACCATGGATCAGGAAAAAGTGCTCACCTCTGGAGCCAGGAAGCATTGAATCCAAGCTGGAGTTGCACCCAGAAAGTGATTGCTGGACACAAAACAGGATCTCTCCTCTGAGAACAAACTCCCAGACTCATCCACTCATTGTCAGGCATGGGGAGCCAATAGCTGTGTATTCACTAAACCTGCCTTCCAAGCCAGCGCTCTAGATCCCAGATGCAATGACCCTGAACTGTCCTTGAGCTGGTGGTCACAGCAAGATGACTTGGCATTTGGATGCCAGAGTCTGATTCTGTGTTTTGTGGCATTACATTGGAACTTCTCTTTCCTTTTATTCATTCATTCATTTTTCTTGGTGCTGTGTTGTAGCTGGGCATTGTTCATCGCTATGTTGTTTGGATCCAGGCTGGTAACACTACCACTTGAGCCACAGTTCAACTTATATTTTTTCTGTTGGCTTATTGGAGATAAACGTCTGGTGGCCTTGCCCACCTCAGCTGGCTTTGAACCACAATCTTAGATCTCAGCCTCCTGAGTAGGTAGGATGACAGGCGGGAGCCTGGCTCATTTATTTACTTTGGATGGAATAAAGTTCAAAGAATGGGTGGGCAAGTTGTTCTGTATAAAGCATGTTTGTAAGTTCTAGATGAGATTACCGGTGGTATTTGAAACCCTGGCATCCAGTTCCTCTGTGAGGGCCCATCTGTACGGGTCCACATCTTGGGTCTGAAGACTCTTACCTATCGAGCACGAACCTCAGGCCAAGTTGAATTGCTGAATGCAATTGCAGTGTGGCCTCAGCTTCAGGACTACAATTTCAAGCATTATAGATAAAAATCATTGATTGAGCCTGGCAACAGGTCTCTCACTTGTCATCCTAGCTATTCAGGAGGCTGGGATCTGAGGATTGGGGTTGAAAGCCAGCCTGAGCAGGGATTCTGAGCCTTTTATCTCCAATTAACCACCAAGAAGCTGGAAGCTGAGCTGTGGCTTAAGTGGTAGAGATTCAGCCTTGAACAAAAAACTCAGGCACAGTGCCCAGGCCCTGAGTTCAAGCTGCAAAACTCACACACACACACACACACACACACACACACACACACACACACAACAAACCCAGCATTGTCTGAACAGTTCTTGGGCACTGAGCACTGATCTTAGCCTTAAAAGTGAAGAAAGACTTCGGAAGAGTTGGATGGCCAGGTGAGAGGAGAGGAGGCTGGGCCCCACCTTCATGTCTTATATTATTTTAGATCCATGATTAGTCTCCATACACAGGGTTCGATTCCAGATGGGCACAGACCGGATTCACTCTGGCTCCCCCTTGCTGTGAATGAGACACAGGATCTCAATCATCCAGTTGGTTCCTGGAGACAGAAGGAAAGTGAATGTCACTCATTTCTATCTGAATTATGTAAAAACCATGATGGTAAAATATACATAACATAAACCTTACCCATAGACTCTGTGGCTGGCATGCAATCTTTGGTCACTCAACTTTAGTGTGTTTGTGTGTGTGTGTGTGTGTGTCCCAATTTTGTGTTTTCTTCACTGGTAATCAGCATAATATCCCATTTATTCCCTACAACCTATTCTGACTATACAGCTCTTTCTCTGTGGATATTGGGGGTTACTCTTCCTCTTGGTTGTTCCTGAAATCCCTTCAGTTCATCCTCCTGTCTCATTTCCTTTACTCGGTGCTCAGTGTGTGTGCTGGGTGCTCGCCTCCTGCTGCCATCCCAGGCCTGAGTCACACACAATCCCCTGGAATATGGCCTGTTCTGCCAGGTTCTTGTGTTTATTGTAAGCTTTCCAGTTGCCAATGAGTGTTTTTTTTTCTTTTTGTGCCAGTTCTGGAGCTTGAACTCAGGGCCTGGGGACTTTAATTAAAAAAAAAAAAACAAAATCAAATGTATTCAATAGTTAGGAAATGTTAACACCCTCCACCCCTTCCCCATACAACAGTATAGATATGGCTCAAGTGTTCGTGTGCCAGCTGGATACTCAAGCCAAGCAAGTACAAGGCCCTGAGTTCAAATCAGAGTAATGCCCCCTACCAAATTAATAATCAAAAAGTTACATCCTCACTTGAACTTATAGGCACAGGCAGGAACTTCCTGAACAGAGTCCCAAGGTCACAACAAATTGGAGAGAGATTCGACAAATGGGATGGCCTTAAAATAAAAAGGTTTTGCACAGCTACAACTATAGCAACCAAGCTAGAAAGACAACCAACTAATTGGGAAAAAATATTCACCAGCAATATATCAGACAAGGGTTTAATATCCAGGATACACAAGGAACTCAAGAAAATAATCCCTCCCAAACTAACAAACCAATTACTAAATGGGCAAGGGAACTAAAGAGAGACTTCTCAGATGAAGAAATAAAAATGGCAAAAAAACACATGAGGAAATGTTCACCATCCCTGGTGGTAAAGGAAATGCAAATAAAGACAATCCTGAGATACCACCTTACCCCAGTCAGAATGTCCCACATCCACAAATCAGCCAATGACAAATGTTGGAGGGGATGTGGAGAAAGAGGAACCCTATTACACTGCTGGTGGGAATGTACACTTACACAACCACTTTGGAAAGCAGTCTGGAGGGTCCTCAGAAAGCTAAAGATTGACCTCCCTTATGACCCAGTCATACCACTTCTAGGCATCTACCCTGAACAACAGGAACCAATATACAAGGACATATATACCTCCATGTTTATTGCAGCACTGTTCACAATAGCTAGGATATGGAAACAACCCAGATGTCCCACCACAGATGAAGAGACCCAAAAATTGTGGTATCTAAACACAATGGAATGTTATGCAGCCATTAGAAATGACAAAATAATGGTATTTGCCTGAAAATGGATGGAGCTAGAAGGAATCATGTTGAGTGAGGTAAGCTAAGAGCAGAGACAAACGGCACATGGTCTCCCTGATAAGTGGATGCTAAATCCAAAATGTTAGGTGATAAGTCAAAATTAATAAGACTTAAGACACAAAGAACTTCCACTCATCTGATGGAATCACTACTAAATAACCCCATGCTGCTGATCACATATATGGTATATATGTGCACACTGGAGGGAAACCAGGAGGACAACATAGAGCTAGAACGAATCAGGGAAAAACATAAAACAGCGGGACCCATCAGCTGCAATGGTCATTGACCAAAATAAACTAAGCAACACAATGGCAGCAATGGGAGGGAGGGAACAAGCAGGAAAGAGGGAACAGCTGACACTATGCAAAACAAAAGAAATGTACATATCACCAAATGCAGAAGAAATAACTGTATTGCAAAGCACATAGAACTCATAAATGTTATAGAGTACGATAGACCATTTGCCCCATGAAAGTCAGAATGTGTTTGTGACTTTAACTAAGCATCACTAACCCACAACACTGTGAAATTTGGGAAATTATGTAACCACTCAATCACAATAAAGAATTTGAAACAAACAAAAAAAAGAAAAAGAAAGAAAAGTTACATCCTTAAGTGTTTATCCTGGACTAAATAAAAAGTGTTAGAATTTGTAAGGTGTCCGTAAGTGCTCCATAGGGAACTTTAGAAATAGTGAGAAAAGCCAGGCACTGGTGGCTCAGGCCTGTCATCCTCACTACTCAGGAGACTGAGATGTAAGGATCGTGGCTCAAAGACAGCCCAGGCAGGGAAGTCCAAGAGAGTCGTTATCTCCAATAAACCACTCAGAAAACCAGATGTGGCGCTGTGGATCAAGCAATAGAGCACTTGCATTGAGCTGAAGAGCTGAGGGACAGTGCCCAGGCCCAGAGTTCAAGCCCCATGACTAACTAAAAAAAAAAAAAAATGGATGACGCTGCCTGCCTGGCTCTTAGTCCCAGGCCACAGCCACTACCACCTGGGAGGGGGTGGCAGAGTCTGGGTTTCATCCGGGTGCTGAACGTGGTCATTAACTGTCTTGGGCTCACTGTGAAAGTAACCCGTTTGCTCACCATGGCGGGCTTCCTGGCCACCAGTAACCAGCCACCAAGCTGGCTGGCTTCCTTGCCAGGTGCCTGTGACAAGCTGAGATTCAATTCTGGCAGAGGAAGCAGGGTTTCAGCAAAGAACCCCATGCATATGGAGGGTATCAGAGGTCAAGGCGAACATCTGCTTCCCTCAGGCTCATGGCCCATGTAGTTTCTCAGCCTTCTTTTCTTTGTCCTGACCTTGCAGATTTGAGGACCATCAAATACTTGTGTAACATCAATGGGATGGTGTGTGTGTGTGTGTGTGTGTGTGTGTCTGTGTCTGTGTCTGTGTGTCTGTGTGTGTGTGCCAGAGCTGGGGCTTGATAGTAGGTTCTGGGCACTGATTTAAGCTCTTTTGCTCAAGGTTAACACTCTACCATTTTGAACTACAGAGGCTTTTTGGTGGTTTTCTGGAGATCAGAGGCCCACAGACTTTCCTGCCTGGGCTGGCTTCCAACCTCAATGCTCAGATCTCAGCCTCCCGGGTAGTTGTGATGACAGGCGTGAGCTCATTGCCTGGCTTCACATGCCTTTAAGAGCTCAGCTTTACAGTCTCCTGAGGGGCTACTCAGCCTATAGAGTGCTGGGAGTTGACAATCAGCAAGGAGGAGCACAGACACAACACTGGTGTGACTGTCCCTGGGATTACAGTCCCTGGGGAGTGATAGTTCTGAGGTGGCAGCCGCTGTGACCCCACATCCCCATGCACATTTTCCAGCTGGCAGGTGGGTAGAAACCCAACCCCTGCAGCCAGCACTGATCCCTGGTGGTGGCAGCTGTGCCCCCCTCTACCCTGCCAGGAAAGAACAAAGAAAGACGAGAGGTGATGCATGCACACATTCAGGTAAGCATGCATGCATTCATTCATTCACTCTGAGTGACCCCTGTCCCACCTTGCCACTCAGCAGTACTTCTACCCCAGGTCCTGGCTGCAGCCAGGGGTCAGGAAGCACTACTTCCTCCTGAACACCTGGTCACCCTCAGTGAACTCCTTGTAGATCATATGCCAGTGCCGGAAGGGGAAGATGCATGGCGTGATGCCCGTGGAGGGTTGGGGTGCTTCTTCACTGCGTGTATGAGCACATGCCCGCACACACACACACGCACACATGCATGCTCTGCACTCCCAGTGTTCTCCTTGACACATGACCCCCTGGTCTGCCAGTTCCTTGTATTCACCAGAAGCTTTTTGGTTCCCAGCCATGTTCCATGACAATTCTTCTCCTGGAAATCATGCTTCCAAGTAACATCAAAGTCATTCTTTTCAATTTAATATACCATAGAGCTCCTCAAAAAAACCATCCTGTGTGTGTGTGTGTGTGTGTGTGTGTGTGTGTGTATACACACACCAGTCCTGTATGCTCTCCCTAGCTGTGGCGCTCAAGGCTGGACCTCTACCACTGATGCAGCTCTACCCCTGGGTCTTCAATAATGAGCTACTACACTGTCCCCAGGAAAGAGCGGGGGGGGGCACATGCCTGTTCTTTCCCATGTAGCCACAGACACGTCTGCTCACCTATTTTAGGTTAGGTCACCGTGATGATGTCCTCAGCATCAGCTCCTTGTGGGCTGCTTTTATGACTTCTGAGTTGAAACCCAAGGCAGGGAAAGGAATGCCCTGGAACCAACCACACATAGTCCTGAGCCATGGCAGAGCCCTGTGTGCCTGGCTCTTGGTCCCAGGCCACTGGTACTGGGGAGGTGGTGACACCACTGACTGAAGCTAATCATTAACTTGTTTCATTTTGTTATGAAAGTGATTTGATGATTAAAAAAACAACACAGAGGGCAACTGTGAAATTCTTCAAGGGCAATCTGTGCCCTTCTGACTTTAGTTCAGGGTAGGGAATCTCAACTACCAGAGGAAATACAAGGAAATAGGCTTCAGGGCTCTTTCTGTTTTTGTTTTTGTTTTTAGAGTTTAAGACGAAAAACGGTCTTTGGTGCCAGGCACCAGTGGCTCATGTCTGTAATCCTAGCTACTCAGGAGGCTGGAGGTCTGGGGAATCAAGGTTTGAAGCCAGCCCAGTAAATAAAAGCCAGAAGACTGGTATCTCAAATGAACCAAGACAACTGTCAGAAGTGGAGCTGTGGCTAAAGTGGTAGAGCACCAGCCTTGAGTGCAAAGCCATAGTCCTGAGTTCAAGCTCCAGAACTGGGGGGAAATATATATAAACACCAGAGTGAGATTGTGTGGCTTCAGAGTCATGTGACCTGGTGTCTGTGGCCTGACACAATGCTGTGCAGTGAATAAACACCTGGTGCTCATGGCTCAGTCAGACCAGGAGCCTTTGTCCTCCAGACAGAGGTCCCTACTGCCCTGCCTGCCCACACCAGGCACAATGCACACAGTTGCCTGGGGGTAATGCT